GAGAGAGAGAGAGAGAGAGAGAGAGAGAGAGAGAGAGAGAGAGAGAGAGAGTCTTGATTTCTGTTGGAAGCGGAAGCGGACGAACCGAGTCCCACCAGAAGCCGAAAACGGGAAAAGAAAAAACAAAAAAAAAAACGGGAGGGCCTGCTACCGGTACCTGCTTCCAGGCCAGGCCATGGGGTACCAAGGCCACCTCCCGTTTTTGCCAATTATTGAACCGGTAGGCCGTAGAACGCATAGTGTACTGTTTTTCTTGCAGTTTCGAACTGGTCATGGGCCAATCTTGCAGTGGACTGTTATTTCTGCGAATTCTGAACTGTGCAGCGGTCACAGGCGCAGTTGTCTCCTTTTTTTTTTTGTCCAGAGTCCCTTGAATACATCCTTGCTTTTTTAAACAGCAGGAACTGGGAACCGGGCCCAGCGTCCCATCTTGTGGACTGAGAATCCTGAGAAAGCTGAACTATGCAGAAACAATAGCAGATGAAGAAAGGCAAAATTGACACTTTCCAGTTTTCCACTCGACTGTTGGAGGTGGTACTGCCTCCTCAGCTGACCACTATTCGCCGGATACGGAGATAAGGCCGAGTGATCACCCTGACACATCTAGGTTCCATGCATCTTCATGCCCCCCGGGACCACTGTAAATCAACCATGGCATTTGCCTGGGGGGGGGAGGGGGAGGGAGGGGGAGGTGGGTGGGGAACAGGTCTGGGAATTCAGATGCAGGCGCACAGTGTTTGCAGAATATACAGAGCAATGGATGCTAGGAGCGTCGATCTTGACTACCGGAATTGGAGGATACACAGAGTTATGAGTTACAGCAGCAGCCTGTGCCTTCAGAAGACCCCCTCAACCTCCTGGTCGCCAGATAAGACTAGACGAAGTCTTCCGTGGTGTCCCTCTGTTCTTTTTTTTTTTTTTTTTTTTTTTTAACTGGGGCTCAGGTTACAACCCGGGGTGATATAGGGACATCCCGGTAGTAGTACCCTTGCCGGGCTCCATTCTATTGGTGTGCAGCGTCACCTGCTTAGCCTAGAAACCGGGTTAATGCTCCTACATCCGTTGCATGGGTGGCAAGTAGATGATTTAAGATCCTGGCAATCTCGATAATCATATCTTTTTGAAGTGGTCAAAATATCCAATGTCCCATTACATATCCTGTCACAGGCGGTTCCTTTTTCTATGCCTGCGGCCTGCCCTTCTTCTGCCCGTCACCTTTTGCCCCCTCGTCCCTTCCTGCCTCTCTGGGCGGGGCTCCTCGTGGTTCTTCTGCAGTCACTGTGACTGTCCTGCCTTCTTCTGAGTCAGCCGATGTCGTGTCTTAGGTTTTATCCACCGCTGGGTTGGTCCGTTGGAGGCTCCAGTGGGATTGCTGGGTTGGTCAGTAATGGTACCATTGCAGTTCCATTACTTCGAGGCCGTGTAATGGGAACAGGTGGTGGGGGAAGCCCGTAGGTCCGGCGTAGGACTCTGTAGGAGGCCGCAGTCGGATTGTTGGGTTCACCTTTGTCCAGT